GTGCGGAAAAGAGGTAAATCTTTCACATCCGAAAGTTTTTGGTTGTGCTTCATATGTTATGTTAGACTCTAATAGTAGAGATAAATTGGACCCTAAGGCAAAACGTTGTTATTTCATTGGTTATGGATCTGACATGTTTGGCTACGGGTTTTGGGATGACCAAAACAAGAAAATTATCGAAGTAGAAATGTTACTTTTAATGAAAACATGTTCTATAGAGACGAGATTGCAAAATCTGCAAATGTAAATAAACGACTAGAGCAAGTATCATTAGAAGAAATTTCGAGAAAGTGATGTAGTCAACCGAAGGCGAGAATATACAAGTAGAGCCTATGTCGAGCTCGAGACGGAACTCGAACAAATAGTAGAGTCGACAACTCCCGAAATCTTGGTTAGAAGATCTAGCAGAACAATTGTAGCACCACAAAGGTATTCCCCTTCATTGCATTATTTGTTGTTGGTCGATCTTTGGTGAGCCGAGCATTTCGTTGAGGCTATGCGGGGAGATGAATCTATTAAGTGGGAGCTAGCAATGGAAGATGAGATAAAGTCCCTTCGGAAGAATAAAACATGGTCTTTAACCAAGCTACCGGAAGGAAAGAAAGTTTTGCAAAACGAGGTGGGTCTATAGGTTGAAAGAAGAACCGGATGGCGGCAAAAGATATAAGGCTAGACTCGTAGTGAAAGGGTTCCAACAAAGACAAGGAATTGACTTCACGGAAATTTTCTCTCCTGTTGTCAAGATGACTACCATCGAGTTATCTTGAGTATAGTAGGCTGCAAAAAATCTTCATTTGGAGCGGTTAGATGTCAAAACTGCATTCTTACATGGGGATCTTGAAGAGGAAATTTTTATGACACGGCCAAAAGGTTTTGAAGTACAAGGCGGAGAAAATCTTGTATGCAAGCTTCATAAAAGTTTGTACGGATTAAAACAAGCGCCGAGACAATGGTACAAGAAGTTTAATGAGTTTATGAGAAACTCGGGATTTCGCAGATGTGAAGAAGATCACTGTTGTTATGTGAAGAAATATGTTGATAGCTATATCATTCTTGCCTTATATGTTGACGACATGTTGATTGTTGGAGCTAATATGGCGGAAATTGACAAGTTGAAGAAACAATTGTCGGAGAGCTTTGAAATGAAGGATCTTGGTCCAGCCAAGCAAATTCTTGGTATGAGAATCTCCCGAGATAGAGATAAAGGTATTTTGAACTTATCTCAAGAAAAATATATAGAAAAATTGCTTAGCGAGATTCAATGTTGGGAATGCTAAAACCAGGAATACACCTTTGGGAACTCACTTAAAGTTTTCAAAGAGGCAATCTTCTCAAACAGAAGAAGAAGAAAGTCACATGTCTAAAGTGCCATATGCATCTGCAGGTAGGAAGCTTGATGTATGCTATGGTTTGCACCGGACCGGACATAGCACATGCGAGTGGGAGTTGTGAGCAGATTTCTATCAAATCCCGGAAAGGAGCATTGGGAAGGAGTGAAGTGGATATTCGAGATATTTGAAAGGCACTTCAAAGATGCATTTGTCTTTCAAGAGAAGTAATCTCATTTTACGGGGGTTTTCGATGCGAGACTTGGGAGGTGATCTTGACGGTAGAAAGAGCACAACAAGTTATATTTTTACATTGGGTGGTACAGCTATCGGTTGGAAGTCTAAACTTCAAGGAAGGGTCTCTCTCTCAACCACCGAGCGAGTATGTAGCTATCTCGAAGCGGCGAAGGAGATGATATGGTTGAAGAACCTTCTAAAAGAATTAGGAAGAGAACAAGATGGTTCTCCGTTGTTTAGTGACGAGTCAAAGTGCTATTTGTCTTGCTAAAAATCCAATCCTTCATTCCGAGATGTAAGCACATTGAATTGAAGTATCATTTTATCGAAACACGATAAATGATGGAGACTTGAGTTTGTTGAAGATTCCAGGTGCGAGAGAATCCCGTGATATGTTGACCAAGACTGTTACAACAACTAAGTTGAGGCTTTGCATTGCCTCAACCGGCCTTCGAGCAAATTGATGATGAAGGCACTACACTAGGTGGTAACGTAAATCAAACTCCAAGTGGGAGAATTGTTAGTATTATGGTGCTTGATTTAGTCCCACATCGATTAGGATTGTGAGATGAGGTTCTCTATTTTGTTATATAAGCAACCCGATGTAAAGTTTGAGATACACACAGAAATAAAAATTACTTCCTAGTATAGTCGTGGACGTATGCATACATATTTTAGCTGAACCACGTTAAAATTCTTGTGTCGTTTATTTTTCTCTCCTTCATTCTTTCCTTTATTATTGTCTTGTTCCTAACACCGAGAACCTGAAATATCAAAATCGATGTCGTCTTTGACAACACGAATTCTTGAAGGTGTTAAGCGGAGTATGAAATTTACTTGAAAATCGAGGATGATGATATGTTAATATTATGCTTATACGTTAATAATTTGTTGATAATTAATAGAAAAATTACATTGATTGACGATTTCAAAAAAAGATGAAAGATCAGTTTGAGATGACTAATCTAGGAAGGTTGTCGTATTTTCTGGGTATGGAGTTTGTCGAAGGCAAGAAAGGAATTCTGATTCACGAAAGTACATATGGTAAATAAATTTAGAATGAATAAATGTAATATGATAAATAGACCAATTAAGACAAATTTAAAGTTAGATAAAGGTGAAGATGTGAAACATATAAGTGCTACAATTTACAAACAAATGATTTGTTTTTTGAAATATTTGTGTTAAAGTAGACTATATATTTATTTTGGTATTGGTTTGTTAAATATATTCATGGAGAAATTCAAAGTATCTAACCCTGCAATAATAAAAATAATTTTGAAATATATCGATTATGATTTACGTCAAAATAGAAAAAAGTTAATTGAATATTCTTATTCAGATTTGGCTGACTAATGATAAAGTTGGTTTTATAAACATATTAAGAACTTATTTATCGATCTCATGATGTTTGAAACTATGATATATTATGACACTTTCTTTTTATGAAATAGAATACATGTTTGTCGCATGCTTGTCAGACACTTTAATAAATCAAGTTTTTGTCACATATGAAAAGACTAAGACTATGACTTTGAAGATATAATTAATTTTTATTTTCAGTTATAAATTCTTTATCTACGAGTAATAAGAAAAATGTATATATTATGAATAATATACATCATTACTTTTACTTTAGTATCACCTCTCTTTATTGTTTGGGTCGATACTCTGGTAGGACCTTTCCCCGGTAACCATCCTTGAGAAAAAAATGAATCTAACCTAAGATCATAGGTTTCAAAGCTACCTCTTTCTGGTACTGTTGTAATCTTTGATTCAGTCTACTTCCTCTTTTTCTCATTTTTTGTGGCTTCATTCTAAATTTTATTAATATTTCTGTGGGGTTGACTGTCGCTTTGTCTCAGATTGAAAATATCAGATTTCTGCAAGTTTTGTGTTTGATTGTTTTTACATTTTATCGTGTTTTGAACACAATCTGAACTTAATTTATTCTCAAATAAAGCGGTTGTACACTCTTCAATTGTAAAAAAAAAAAATTGTTTATTTTGACTTTTTTTGGATCTAGTATCCCACCCCGTGCAACACGCTCGGGTATTAATTAATTAGTCAATAAAAAAAAAACAATTATAAATAGGCATTAAAAAAAAATCTGTACATTCCCCTAATTGGTTGGTATAGTATTTTAATTATTACTTACAGAATAATGTCATTTATATCCACACATATACCCACTATTCATTAATATATATATATATATATATATATATATATATATATATATTTTATATTTGATTTTAATTTTATACTTAACAATACAATTTTTATATTAATTAATAGTAATCTTTATTTGGAGGATAATGTTACTAAAGTAATTTTAAAAAAAATGTTACAATGAAAAATTATTTAAGGTTTGATTTTTTTTTTTAGATTTACGTAGTTTATTTAGACTTAAATTAAAATAGTTTTTAAAGAAATTAATTTTATTTAAATTTATATTTTATTATATAATTTGTTTTGAAATTATTTTTTCAGAAAGATTAATTTAATTTTAATTAATATTTTAGGATACAATATAAAGAAAAAGTATTTGAATTTATATTTTACAAAAAGATAGGCAAGAAAACTTGTGGATAACTATTGAGAGAAAAAAATAAAATAAAATAGAGAGCCTATTTCTGCAAAAGAGGAAAAGATGTAACATGATTAATTAAGCTATTAAAAGGAGAAGAGATATAAATATTATTTTATGACCATATATATTAATTAAGATATGAATTGTGAATCCTTTTTATCGATGTATCTTTTAAAATTTTTATAATAATATTAATAACTAACGAAAATAATATTAATATCCATTTCTTTAAAATAAATCAAGTTTATTTTTACTCATTACTTCTTTCTCTCTATTTCTTTTCTCTATGAGACTAATCATTATAATTATAATTTCCAATTCATATAAAAAAGTAACCTAATAAAAGTAAGATTAGATAATTATTTAAAAGTTGTGTTATCATGTCATACCACTAAGGGTAATGATATGATTTTTTTTTTTAAAATACTTAAACAACATTTATCATCTCCTTCTATCACACTCTATCATTTATAATACCCGAAACTTTTTATGTGTGATTTAATGACAATATCTATCTCCCCTACCTCACATTTTTATTTTTACATTTATCTTTCTCCATATTCTTTTCTCTCCCTTATATATAATTTCTTGCACAACAACAATATATATATATATATATATATATATATATATATATATATTTCTTTTTTTTTTCTTTTTTTATTATTATTATTATTATTATTATTATTTTAACTTTCTGGACATGTATCTAAGTAGGTAGTTGAAAGTTGAACCTTTCCTAGTACAAACAGTTAAAACATGGTACTATAGAACTTCAAGGTGTTCTGAGAAAAAGTGAAAAGGGGTAGTGCCATCTTCAACTTGATCAAGCACATGCGTCAATGGCAATCACCACCACTCTTTCCTTTTCCTTCTCCTTCTCCACACCCTTTCGTAGCTTCCAATTCCAAACTCCACCATCATCGCACCCCACAAGACTCTCTATCTCATGCCACTCTTCATCACCACCCTCCAGCGACCCTCTCCGCGTGGCCTTCGCCGGCGGCGGAACCGGCAGCAACGTCTACCCAGCGGTGTCCATTGCGGAGGAACTCAAAGCCCTGAACCCCGCGTGTCAGTTTCTCTTCCTTGGAGCCCCCAACAGCGTGGAAAGTGCCGCAATCTCCTCCGCAGGCTACGACTTCGCCTCTGTCCCCTCACCACCCGACACCAACCCTCTCTTCTTCCCTCACCGTTTCTTCAACTCTCTCCTCCAATGCCTCTTCCACCTCCGAAACTTCCAACCCCACGTTCTTGTCGGCACGGGCGGCTACATCTCTTTCCCCGCCTGCCTCGCCGCCAAGCTCCGAGGCACCAACTTTGTCATCCACGAACCCAACTCCGTCCCCGGCTTCTCCAACACCCTTCTCTCCTCCTTTGCCGACGCCATCTTCGTTGCTTTCAACTCCACCCTCGACAACTTTCCCAGAAACAAGTGTTTCGTGTGTGGCAACCCCGTGAGGTTGTCTATTAGGAACCTTGTCTCCAAGGAAACCGCCATGTGTCGTTTTTTTCCGGGTTCGAATTGTGGGGACAGGGTTTTGTTGGTTCTTGCTGGCTCCTATGGCGCCAATGCTGTTAACATTGCGATGCTGAATTTGTACTATCAGATGCTGAGACGGGATAGTGGCTTGCATGTTATATGGCAGACTGGGGTTGAAGCCTTTGATGAAATGGATAGCCTTGTCAAGAGTCATCCACGCTTGTATATGACACCGTGAGTGCTTCTCAAAACTTGTCTCTGTGCTTCCCTTTTTAGTAAGACTACATGGAACTATGGGGATATATTTACAAGAGGGAGATTGATTTGTGATTCTAGATTACATTAGATAGTTTTCTATTGTTGATAGAGCATAGTAGCACTTTATTGATCATGCAACAACCCTGTTTATTTGCACAAGGGTAGGCTGTGGTAGTAGAATTGATCAAATTGATCACTAGCTCCTTTCACTTAGGCGAATACTCATTAATCTTTGAGTATAACAAACCTGTTAGTGAGGTCCACTGAATTTCATGAATCACTCAACTTTCCCAAATATCCTTTTTACTTTCCCTTCCCCTTTTCACAAAACTAACAACCATGTTGCAATTTACTATGTTCAATCACTTCTGCAGAAAAGATTCTTTCTGTGTATCCAAGCTATCTTAACCAATTTAATGTCATCTTTTTTACTACATATCTATTTTAGCGTTCTCAATTTTGTTACTTCCTCCTTTTTCTCTTATGGACTTTTTGAAGTCTAACAATCACTACCTTGAAGTACAATAAAACTTGTCTTTAGATTAGTCAATATTTACTATCCTAAATAACCTTCATAAACAAACCCAGAAAATATTCAATCACACTGAACAATCAACATTGTGTTATTACAAGAGCAAAGAAAGAAATGAAGGGAGAGACCAATTCCGGCCAAACTCTAATTGTAACAGCTGTAGCAAACTAATAACTGAATATGAAACAGAATAAAACTGTCTTCAGTCAAGAGATACTAGTAGTGATTACCCTATTATTCCATTGGTGGTATACGTGGTCTGACATATTATATAACAATTTAGCAAAAATTGGCGATAAAATTTTTGTTCCAAAGTGATACCTTCACATGGAAAAACAGCATAGTTATTGTAAATCCTGTGACTCTGGCTGCGGAAAGACAGGAAGAAAGGGTATTTTACGACTTAATGCTGTCAAAATCGTTTCTTTACTTGAATACTTGACAAAACTCAAACCCACTGCATGACCCAAAAGTCCAATCAATTATCTTTAGTGCGCTTCCTCCACTCAGCCCAGTGCATAGTGCTTTTTAAAACTGGCATGAATGGGGTTCCTGTTTTAACGTTTTTATGTTGGACCAGATTAAAATTCCTTCATTCAACATCATGGATACTTTATATAGGATTTTTTTTTTTCCTTTTATAGTCTTTCATTCATAATTTCTGTTACTAATTACAAACAAAAATCACTAAAAATTAGTCGTAATCATGTCAATCATTTGTTAAGAGTAATCTCTGATTTTGCTTGCAATCTGAGGTTTAGTGATAACTTTTCTGACACATTCCCTTTTATGAAGGTTCATGCATTGCATGGATTTGGCATATGCAGCGGCAGACTTGATTGTTTCTAGAGCAGGTGCAATGACTTGCTATGAGATATTGGCAACTGGGAAACCATCAATCCTGGTAGTCAAAATTTTGTTTTACTCTTTCGTTTAATCATTCTGATTCTCATTTAAGCTTTGGATTATAAAACATAACATTAGTCAATTTATTTAAAAGTGAATGTAAGAATAATTCAGCCACACTATGCTGAACATATTTTTTTCATAATAAGTTAGCAGAATTTTTATCCCAATCTGTGGATCATTCACCAATACATCAACTTAATCGCTTAAACTATACTTGATGGTACCGCAATTTTCATTTTTTCGAGAATAAATTAGTCTTATTTCTCTTCAAATTCAACGCTTCATTCTTAGGCTTAATAGAACAAATGAAGCATTATAAGTACCTGTGCAGTTGTGCCATTTTATGTAGCAAAATCAAAAACATACTATCCTATGGAGGTGTTTTCCGAATATATGCTAATTGAGAGCTAGAATCTTAATTAAAGTTTTCTTTACGCCATGAATTAAAAAGATGATATGATTGTGTATAAAAGCTGTTGGAAAGTCCTTCATTGTCTGTCTTCATTTTTGGAGTGTGGTTTATATATTTGTTTGATAACTTTATTTAATTTCAATTGATTTTAAGATGAAACTTGGGTTGATATTGTTGGTAATTGCTTATTAGATTCACCTGGTTTGGCTTTTCAATATTCATACTATAGCTTTCCTTTTAAGTTGGATCTGCAGCTCGTAACAAAGGAAAATGATGACATTTTTGTTCAACTATTGTTTGTAGATACCTTCGCCAAATTTCTCTGAGGGGAATCAGTTCAGAAATGCATCCTTGATGGCAGACTTAGCTGGTGTGACTGTAATAACTGAGGATGAGCTAGACTCAAGTACACTAGCCATTGCAATTGAAAAGATTTTAAGTATGTAGTCCTCATCTTTCAAAATGTCTTGAAATTTTCAGGTTTGAAAATCATCCCAGAATTTTTCATGAAGCAATAAAAAAAAAAATATCTAAATCACGAATTGAACATAGTGCGGTAACTGGCTACCAGAATTGAAACTTGAAGTTTGGGAAAGGATTAAAGTCTTAAAGAGTAAATAATAATTTACTACCTTTTATCTTTCAGAACAAGTTCAAGCATTCTTTGCCCCCAAGTCTCAACCTTCTTTCTTTCTCACAGTTTCTACCTGTAAAGTGAAACCTAACAATCTTCTGACATTCCTTGTTTCTTACTCCAAAATTTAGTAACCTAAAAAGCTGCACTAGTATTTTCTTCTTTCTTTATTGTCTTTCTTTTTCCCTCCACTTTCAGATCTGCATCATATTTAGCAATGACTACTACAGTACAACCGTAATTTTGAAATTATAAATTTTCCCATTAATAATATTTGTCACTGATAAACACATTGACTACTTGCTGTTGTATGAATTCACCATGTTTGTTCTGAAATTCAGCACTTACTTAAGCAACTTATATCTCTTTTTCTTCTTTTTTTCTCACCCCTTGTCTTTTTATTTGGATTTTGGACATTGAAAATATGCATGATAGGGGACCAGAAGAAGATGGAAGATATGTCTGAGAGGGCTCTGAAAGCTGCAAACCCCAATGCCTCAGCTGAGATTGCAAAACACATTCTCTCTCTTGTGAATGAATCTACCAAAAAGAAAAGAGATGGCCACAAAGTAGAATCGTAGCACGGCGGTTGAAAATTGAAATAAACTCGTGCTTACAAAGTTTTTCTTGTGGGCCAATAACACTGATAAGAAGAGAGCCACTGCTCTTGCAACTTGACAGCATAGTGTTAGGAATGTGATATATGGATAGTGCTAAGAAGTTTGTGAGCTCATGTATCACTGCCACTTTGATGAGTAAGAGACCAAGCATGAAGGCTTTAATTGCTCAGGCAGGGTTGTGACATGACGTGGGAGTGGTCCATTTTTGTATTGTTTATTTATACATTTGATTTTGTGAACCAACCATGATTCTTGGAGTGGTCTATTTTTTATGGTTCACAAGGAAACATCCTTGTCACTGAGAATAGAGTTGAGTTTTTCATGATGCCCTTGTCCATGATGGTGAATAATGTAATGTAATGCAACTTAACATTCAATTCTCCAAGCATCTGAAACCTTTGTGAGATGAAGAAGAAATAAATTTTGCCATGACATTTTAGGCTCACCCTGAGTCATTTTTTTCTTTCTTTTTCATATTAACAATGTTAAAGTCTTCTGCTTATTTAGCGGTGGACAATGTATGGCTATTTTTTCATAAAAAGTAAATTATTTATAATATTTTTCATCTTTAAAATATTATGCTGTTGACCTTATTCTTTTCAAAAAAAAAAAAAAAACAATTTCTATAATATTTATTAAAAAATAAAAAACAAGAACAATTGTTAATGTTAGTATCACATAGGTAACTATGACAGAATAGTTCATATCACAACTAACTGTGACACATTCCCCAAATAACACAGCTAAAAAAACATGTAAAAAAATGTTTATAGAGGTTAAGCACAATTTTCAAATGTTTGTAGAGACTAATTTCACGTGCTAAGACAGATATAACCACAACCAACAAAATCTATCACCGCAAGATCCAAAAGGGGTGTAGTTGAGAACAAGCATTCCAAATGTAAACACCCTAATTTGTAACAGACAGAACTCCAATAAAAACCAAAAGAAAAGTGCTTTTAGGCAAGGCCACTCTTGGGTATGGTATGCAAAGGTCTAAACTCTCAAACCCAATTAAAAAACCTTTACTCAATAACATATAATTGCCGCCTCCTCACAGAGGATAGAGTTTTGAAATATGAAATGATAAATGACAGCAAAGAATGAAAATTCTTGCTTATATTGGATGTGAAAAACTATACACAAATTTATGGGTGGGAATGGAAGCTGTCCAAAAAAACAGTAGGATTGTGACACTCAGTGTCGAGCTGCAACTTGCTGCTTACATACCGGGCAGAAATTTTTCTGTGCAACCCATTGTTTTATACACTGAAAGTGATAAATGTGTTCACAATTTAGCCTCCCCAGCTCATCACCTGCTTCATACTCCTCCTGAACTCGAGCAAGAATGAACACTCTCAGTGTAAAAAACCTTATATTATCAACTAGTCAGAAATCATTGTTGGTATGATTTATAAAATAATTACATAAAAGTCAACAACTTTATCATACTTGACAAACATACCTGGCAAATGCTGCACTCTTTATCTATTTGATGCTTTGATATATCATCCCAAAATTGAAGTCTGGTCTTCCTTATGTTTCGTCCCATCTCATCTTCCTTAAGTCCGGTGTTCACATGACCAATTCTCTCACCAAGCTCAAGCAATTGCTATCAAACACAAGCCACAAGTTTTGACCAATATAAAACAATGTCCATGGATAATATATTAATATCTTGGAAATAAATTTATTGCAAAAGGAAATAGATAGCTATGCTTGAGAACTAACTAACCTCATATGACATATTATCAACATCAAGTCTCCAGTCTCTAAATTGATCATGTGAATTTAGTTGTCCACCCATTAGTAGACTCCCTTGAAGCATCATTATCTTCAAAGTGCCAGCCAAAAATCAAGATATGCAATATTAGCTCGACTGCAACAAAATCTATGCAGAAATGATCGGATATAACACAATGCTCCTACACACTTGCATTATTTATAAAATTATAACTTGCACTAACAAGCCGCTACATCTGATAATCCAAACATAAAAGAGTGATATAGACATTAAAACAAGTGTGAAAAAATGCAAATATAACCATTTATCTTTTAATTTTGGTGAAATGCGGTGCCTTAACTTACTCCCAAACACAAGTCAGTCATAATGCACACCGCATAATGAACAAAAAATCTCAGTCATGACAGTATTATATCAAACCGCTTCATAACACATTTATTAAATTCACATCTGTCAGGTGTCTATTCTAAACAACTTGTGTAGACCATATACACAACCACACATGAGAATCCGTGTTGATGACTAAATCTGTTCCCTAAACACAAGAAACATGTCACTCAATCACACAATTCCAGAATATAACTGTTTAATCTCCTATTACTCTGAAATATAGAAAAAGGGAAAAGACTCAAACTGAGAGAAACTCACTTTGATATGGATTTCATGGCTTTGTTAGCAAATGCACTACTAAATAAGTATTTACGCTACACAAGACACCTCTTCATACACGAGACATGACTCTTGGAAAACATAAGTGCTTGAATCTAAAAGACACATCCATACTATGAATCTCAAAATGCATGAACTACATAATGAATTGTTTGATTCAATGTTTCGCTAAACTCCATTAACATAATTGATCCACTAAGGTTCCCTATTTTTTCTTCACCTGAAGGTGTTGAACAATAAATTCCAGTTCATTTTTCTGCTACAACAGACAGACAGACAGACACCTCTACAATTCCAACTCTGTTGAGGAATACTAAAAGACCAACTGACTAACATAGCAACACCATTTACAATACAAGACAGCAAATTTCACCGTCTCTTTATACTCATGCAGCCTAATACATCAAATGCGATCAGATTCTAAGTCCCCAGATTCCATACAAAAAAAATTTAATTTTTTACTACAAAAACAGCAAGTTATTATTTTACACGTAAAAACATTGAGTCGCGCTACATTCACTTCAACGTAAGTCAAAATTCAGTTTTATAACTTTGCAGCCAGCCAGCACATGCAAGTCCTATACACAAAGTAAACAATTTGACTTAATGATTCCATATTTAAACACGTTGTTATTTGAAAAAGAAAAAAGAATAAATCGTGATTTTTTTTCATAAGAACAAACCAGATAACTGGTATGAAAGACATTCAACCGTACTAAACATGACCTTATAATTAGTCACGAAAAAGATAGAGAAAAGGGTATATGTATATTATTAGAGGAAACCTCAGCAAAACCATCAGAGGAAGGATCTCTAACATGACGATAGTATGTTGCAGTTCCATAAGAGTCAGAGGCAGAGCGTGGTGTGAAAATATCAGAATCAGGGTCCAGAAGAGTGAAGGTTTCTGTGCGCCTTCCCACATACGATGATCGCTGCCAATATATATTTAATGATGAGACAGTGTTGGTTAGTTCGAAATCATGTCAAGGCATAGTGAAGCAAAAATTATGACGAAACAGAACTCAAACGAAAATCCCAACTAATCATTCACGTGTCTATCTAAACCCATAAGTAACGGATCGCTGTCTCCCACTATTGTAACCACTTCACACCAATCCAATAATCAACAACTTCTTCTTCCATCTGTAACTTAACTGTTACTCGCGTTCTCAAAGGCTACTAATAGCTATCAACAACCAAAATAATTATTCTTAAAATCAACAAGTCATTCTTTTTGTGTTATCAATAATCATTATTTCTTGTTTTCAACATGAAAAGTGAAATAAAAGAAACATTAATGGATTGATAATAGGGTGAAAGGATAATTCCGCATAATTTAAAGCATTAAATGAGTTAATTTTTGTACTATAAAGAATTGTTTAAATATTGAAAGAATAATAGTATAGATAAGATGATCAGAGGTCACATGCACTGCAAAAAGAAAACAAAAAAAAAAAACAGCCCTACATGAAAACTATCAAAGACTTCAGGCCCATACAGAAAAATAACTTTTATACTTTGTCTTGTGTATATTTCATGGGAATTTAAACATAATAAAAAAAAAAGGGTGGCATGGGGTTCCGAAGTGCTGATAAAAAGATGTTCATCAATGCAAAAACCAGTGATAGTTTTCTACTTTCTTGCTATTATTTGATTGATAAACAGAACCTAAGAAATTACCAAACAACAAAGGAATTGTTAATGCTTGCAAAAGATCATTTTGGAGAGGTTAAAAAGGGGGGAAAACACCCTTTAATGCAGGTTGTCCATGGAAAACAAACATTGGTCTGGGTTGAAGAACAGCACCAAGAAGGCGTAGATGAAAGAAAAGGCTAAGTTTTCAACATAATTAGGTACCAAATCACTAAAAAAAAAGGACCAAACGTTACAGAAATGAGAATACCTCCCTGTGAGTGATCTTATCCACATCAATTTTCCCTCTTGCAGAGACATTCTTTCTGGCCACAACACAATCAACAGAGGCAGCAGTATCTGCTGAGAACCCAATTCCAGGGCCACACCAAACATCTTGAAAATCCACACATCCAGGATTAGAACCTTCTAGAACCCCACCATGGAAAGTCTTGTTCTTGCCACCACCGCTAGCTCTCTTGTGCTTCTTTTTTCTTGTTTTCTTCCCTTGCCAATCGGCGGAGGAGCGAATCACCGCCGGCACCGACACCTGCTGAGACGCGCCGGCAGTGCACCCCAGCCCTCTGAACGTTGCCGCAGAAAAGTTGCTTTTTTTCTTGCTTTGGGCAGTGCCATTGATGGCGGGGGTGTCACTATTGGAGGAGGTATTGTTGGAGAAAGTGGAGAGGAGCAGGGAGGATATGGTGGACTTGCCCCTAGTGGATTGGATTATGGAAGGGATTTGAGGGCTTGGATCTGATTCTGAAATGGGATGGTGTTGGTGGTGATGATGATGATGGTTGAATTGGTTTCTGGGTCTTCTCCATTTGATGTGTTCAGCCACTGTAGGTGTTGCTGTGTTTGTGACAACAGGCATGGTTCAGAGAGAGAGAGAGAGAGAAAGAGAGAGAGGAGGAGGGAATAGAACGGGAGTTAGGGGGATTGTGTGAGGAATGTGTTTTGAATGATTATTATTTATTAGTTTGAAATAATGAATTTTAATTTGTGGGGTGCCCTCTTCTTCTTGGTTTGTTAGGTGGGCTCTGCCTTGTCTTGCTGCAATTGTGGGCATATGCTATACTGTTCAATCACTAGCCTCAGACCTCATGCCACAGACTGGAATCTGTGACTTGCTTTTGTTTCTTTTTGTGCTTTTCAAGCTAAACTGATGCTACTTACCAAAAGAAAAGTTGAAAATCCTTTCCCCTCTCTCACTCCATTTTGGAGTCTTGTGGGGGGTGCTTTGGGGCCTCAATGGGAAAATGCTCCTTATCAGATTACCATGCTTTAATTTAATCAGATATGAAATATCTTCCACACTACAGAAAGTCAGACTAGTCTACAGTGCTGACACAAAAGCTATATTTATTTTATTAATAAATAAATTTTGAAATCAACTGAGAATTTCAAAACTTATTTCTGTCTAATAACATGTTGTCTCCATTAAAGAGTGGACAGCATTAAAAAGGTTTCCACTCCTAGGTGTATTGGGATTATAGCATGTATATATTTACTTGTTGGCCTTGCAGAGAAATGTAGGTATGGTGACGATCATGTGAGGAGCCTTGAATTTTGACTCAAGGAATGTCTTCCTTGTAAAGCATCCTAGCTGTAAGTCCATGCAGATCAGTATTGTACTCTTGTTTGCAAAGGTTCAATTCTCAAGGTCAAATACATGGTCAGAAACATTGTTTATTTGTACCAAGAAAACTTCACCGAAGAATAGTATTAATAAATTGTGCTAAGTGTTTTTCTTATTTTCTATTGACTGTGGTATCTTACAAAAATGGTCCATGCAGAATTAAAATGACAGCAAATGACTCTATAGTATGTTTGAAGAAAACTAAAACTTGGTAATCTATGAAAGATCTCCATTATTCTTGGTGCAAGCAACATGATATTACAGCCACTTTCCTCTTTGGTATTTTTTTCCCTTTCATGAGTGTATTAGACTAAACCTCTCTGTCTTAAAATAAAATGACCCATGTTAGTTCCAAAAAAATGACCCTTGACCCACATGATGGTGTGTTCTCCTTGGATCGAAATGAATTTGTCATAAAAATTTTAGTAGTTTTTAAACCCATGTATCTGTGAAAAGTTTCCAAAAGGCAACGTAGAGAGTATAAATGACCTTGAAATATGCAAAATACATGAGAAGATGGGATTTGAATGGGGTAATGAACAAAAGGAAGAAGACATATTAAAATTATTCTTAGAAATTTTTTTCACTCTCTACCTCGTTTTGGACCACATCTTGGGTTATGCAAAACAAAGAATATTTTGGCCATAAAGTTACTAGAATGAACTAAATTTCCCTGAATAAGCAACTTTTGTAATTAATGCTTAGGCTTAACTTGCTATTTCTATGTGGTTGATTGGCTTATGAAAGCAATAAAAGCAGAATTTTTAGTAACCATTAATTGTCTGCTCTGCACAGTAAGAACTTTTACACCAGTAACTTCTTTCTCATAAATCAAATAAGGTTCAAAATCAACTCTATGTCAAATAAGAGGTTTGGTTTCTAATTAGTAGTTATTTGACAAATAATTTGCTTTATCTCTTCATCATACTTAAGAGTCACGTGATGATTCCTGTTAATGTTGAACTGTTAATCACCTCATTAAATTATAAAAGATATGATAAATTTTCTTGACCTTAAAAATTAAAACCAGAAAATACATCATTTGGTTAGTGCCAAGGTAAATAAATACTGTGTCTCATACTTATTATGCCACAAATTTATTGAAATTTGTTAAGGTTCATGTAATCTAAAAAGGTATTTAAGTTCATTGTCTTATACATCCTTAAAAAATTGCTGTGATAACTGAAAATTACAAATTGCTTATATGAAAATTAACTTTGATTTTGTGTTTTCATTTTCACTTTTTTTTTTTATATTTGGTTGGAAAATGAAAATACTCCATTGTCACAAATGTTGGCAAAAATCAATCAGGGAAATGCAAATAGTGAGCATGATGGTTTAGCACAGAAAATCTAGTTGATGATTATTGAGAAGCTGGAATAAGATTGTGGTGGCCATTAATTGTGCCGAAAGGTAGAGAATGATCTAAATATGTTTTATGATGGGAAGTATTAAAGACAGAACAATATGATTAGGTTGGAAAATAATTGATGGTAGCTGCAAAGCAGAATACTTATATATAGCCTCAAATTCAATGCAGACATCGATGCACTTTTTTTCCTTTTGCCTTGCCAACATCTACCACTACACCATCTTCTTACAATCTATAGTTCTTCAAAGTAATTCAAAATAAAAATGTGATTAAAAATAAAGGGAGGGGTTGGTGTTAGGAAGAAGTGACAATTGGTTAGTTTAGTTTGGTTTATTGAGTGTAATTAAAGCCAAAATGTGATTATTTAGATGTTAATTATGTGAAACAGTAAAGCTAAAGGTAAGGTTGGAAAAGAGGAAAAGTTCTGGTATTGGAGGATTGAGCAAAGCAAGAAAGGAAAGTTCATTAATGGCTTTCAAGTGTTCAAGTTTTCAAGTGTTGAAGATGAGTGTTTCTTTTATGAGGGTCTCGCGTGCAACATAATGTGGACTCGTATATAAAGTGTTGTAAACTTCAATGTTCAATCAGAGGTAATTAACCTTTTCAGAAGGTTAGTATTATTAATCTTTCTTTTCAAAATAGCTTATTTGAAGGTTACATTAATAAAATAATGCACAAAATAAAATATCTTCCTAATTTTTTTTTCTGTTATACCCAATGTTTTTAGTATAAAAAGGAGTGAAACCATCCTTCAATATTTAAAAAGTTCATAATCTAACAAATTTAATAAAATAATATTTTTATAATATAATAAATTTATTAATAATAATTTAAAAAAATTAATAAAAAATTAATAATAAATTATAAATACAAAATATTAAAGACGATAATTAAAATAAGATAAAAATATAATAAAATAATTATTATTTAAAAATTTTGTAATTAATATGAGATAAAAAATTAAAATATATTATATTTTTTATAAAAAAATATATTAAAAAAAATTTAAATTTTTTTTTATTAAAACTAATTAGACTAAAAAATTCAATTAATTTTTTTTATTTTGTGTAAATTTAACCTATTTAATTAAAATTTAATTATTTAAAAATAAAAAATCTACACTGTTTCACCAAACCAATTAATTCAGTTGGATTTACAAAAACAATGGTTATACCTTAACATGCATCATTAAACCCACCTTGAAAGTAAAAGTAGCTATATAAAGATTGTCTACACTAATGGGCTTCTAGGCTCAATACATTAATGGTTCTCTAATTACATTTTTATATGAACGGTAGAATGCAAAGGGGAAAAGATGGTGTAAATAACAAGCCCCGAGGTTATTGGGTCTCAGCCCGTTCTTAAAAATTGAAAACCTTGTCAAATTAGTCTTCGCAGTCACTCCGAACTACATTACTTTTGGACCACCTTGCTCTTGGGCCTATCGTACCTACTCACCGTTGATTTTTAGTGTTTCTTACGTGAGCCGTTGATGCAATTCCATCACAAACCTTAAATATTTGCCTTCCTTCTACTTGGGCCGCGATTGGATCCTTTTGCTTCAGAATCCGTGCCCTAGCTGCTTCTTCTTCTTCCTCCTCTCCTCCGCCATTGCAGGGCACAGACCTCCTGCTCCAAAGTTCGCCCCAGACCCAATTCTAGAGCGATCGGAATCGCTATCATGGGGAAGAAGAAGAAGAGGGTTTCCTCGAAGGTGTGGTGCTACTACTGCGATCGCGAATTCGACGACGAGAAGATCTTAGTGCAGCATCAGAAAGCGAAGCACTTCAAGTGCCATGTCTGCCACAAAAAGCTCTCCACCGCCGGTGGCATGGCCATTCACGTCCTTCAGGTCCACAAAGAATCCGTCACCAAGTATAATCCTATTTCCCTCTCTTTTCTCTTGGTCTTTACTTAGGTTTAGGGTTTTGTTTTTGCTTTTTTTTAAATAGGTCTAATCATATTAAACGGGAGAGAAAGAGTTAATGTAATTTGTGTCCCTACGAATTGGCTTATTATTGTTATTATGAACGTATCCTATGGGTTGCTAGAAATTTAGTAGACGTTATGGTTGTGATTACGTTAAAGGAATGTGAGGGATTGAGCGGCTGTGTGGTTTGGTTTCGACTGATGCTAATGATCTATCCCTGAACCTTTTTTATTGCAAGAGAAGTGGATATGTTAGACAAGTGAATTTGCTTCTTAAAATCTGGATATTGGTAAATTTTATGCGTTTTAACAACAAACTGCTTTTTGTTAGTTATTGTTGAGATTTTCCTTTATTATTCTTTATCAGGGTGCCCAATGCAAAACCTGGCAGGGAGAGTACAGATATTGAAATATATGGAATGCAAGGGATTCCACCAGATATCTTGGCTGCACATTATGGTGAAGAAGGTAATCTTGTCTGATGGCTTCTGACATGACATAAAATTGTTTTTTTTTTTTTTTTCATTTATACTTCGCTCACGATATAACATATTAGCTACAAATTGCCAAATCCTTTTTTGTGTTTGCTGGAGGAGTGGGGTTTATTTTTCCACTTTAACAGAATATCCTTTTGTTTAAAAGTTCCGTATGATCACAGCAGATATGTATTGTGACTTCTGTATATATGTTTGATGTATGTATCTTGTAAGACACAAACTACAACATTCTACAAATATTGTTAGTTTTAGTCAGAAGAAGCATGCAATGTTTTAATCTCCTTTCTCACAATTGTGTATTTTGTTTTTAACGCAGAAGATGACCTTCCATCGAAGGTAGCCAAGGTTGATATTCCACCAACTCAGCTTGTAGGTGGAATGAGGCCACCTCCTTTGGGTACAGGATATCCTCCACGATCAGCCTTGCCCACAATTCCGCCAGTGTATGTAACTATTTTATTTTGGTTTCTCTATTTTTATCCATCTACTATTTGGCACAACGAGGAAGTTGTAATTCTTACATATTTTACTTATCTTAAATTATGAGTGGCATAGAATTTGCTCACATGTTTAACTCCTGTGCATTATAGTTATAATCCAGCTGTACCCTTGCCACCAAATGCTTGGGTGGTTCCACCTCGACCACAGCCATGGTTTTCACAACCTCCAGCTGTTTCAGTTCCTCCTCCTGTTCCATACACACAGCAGCCATTATTTCCTGTGCAGAACGTGAGACCTCCACTTCCGGCAACTGTTCCTGCACTTCAAACTCAGATTGCTCCTCCTGGATTGGTTACATCAGCACCTGTCCCAGTTTCACAACCTTTATTCCCTGTTGTTGGAAATAACCATACGACAACTCAAAGTTCAACATTTTCTGCTCCGCCTCTGCCCTCAAGTGTTTCATCAGTTACTCCAGTGATGTCTGCAAATGTCCCTGTTGATACTCATTTGAGTACCCAGTCTTCGGTAACAAGTGGCTACCAGGCTATAGGGGTTCCAGGTAACCTTTATTGCCCCTCCTTTGAGCAATTGTGACTAATTCCTTGATTCAAAACTGCAGGAGTGTTATTGATACAATCTATACACTAGCACTAAAATTCGCATTTTCCCTCTTGAGATTAATCCTATGTGATTCTTGTGATTTTCATTTCCTTCTCACTCATGTTTTCTTATATAGGTGCAGCAGCAAGTAATTCACATTCTTATGCTTCTGGTCCAAATACTGGTGGTCCTTCAATTGGGCCTCCCCCAGTAATTGCAAACAAAGCTCCTACTTCTCAACCTGCCACCAATGAGGTCTACTTAGTTTGGGATGATGAGGCAATGTCCATGGTGAGCCATGTTCTTGAGAGAACCTGTTGTATTTCAGTTTCATGTTGTTTCTTGGTTAGTAATGTTATGATGTTTGGTTACTGTAGGAGGAAAGAAGAATGTCTTTGCCAAAATATCAGGTGCATGATGAAAGTAGCCAGGTAAGTCATACTACCTCTGTAATAGATGGAGTTGCTTTCACATCTAACCAGATGAGTAGGCTTTATGCTTCCTGTTTTCAGATTCAGTTGTTTACACATTGTTTCCTATTTAAAAAGGTACATTCTGAATAAATTGTAATCCTTTTTAAAAATAAAATAAATGGCAAAGAAAATATGATCATTTTAATCCTCCCTCTTGTTTCCAAACTAAATGGGTAGTGCATGCTATTTTACTTTGAACGGCCTCTATGGCTGCAATGCAAGCTATGCTCCAATTTTTGTGGCCATCTAAAGATTCAAATAGGTACTGTATTAATTTCTTTTGGTAGTTAATTATAATTACCACAACATAATTTGTGAAGCTTGCTGCACACTACCAACTTCGTGATCTTTCATCCAGCATTTGTACACCATAAAAGAGTATGTATATATTTTTATTGGGTTTGGTTTTGCCAATGTTATTCTTTCTCCCCCCTGCTTGATTCCAAAGTTTGGGGTTTTGGGTGGAAAATGGTCTTACCCATCAGATTTTTGCCCATTCGTAGCATCATTACAATTTATTTTATGGAACAAGTGAATTCAGACTTGGCACAGGTCAGCTTCTTTCGCAGAGTTTGGATCTCTTGCATAGGACCATGCTATAGAATATTCGGTTTATTGTTGTATTTGGGGTCTATGATTACATGCTGATCATTATCATCATTGCTTTTCAGATGAGCTCTATTGATGCAGCCATAGATAAGAGGATACTTGAAAGCAGGCTGGCTGGTCGTATGGCATTTTAGGTCAATCCTGATAGATAAATTCTTGTCAAATATCTTCCGTGACATGGGCTCAAAACGGCATTTTAATATGTTCGACAGCGTGTGTTCAAGATTCCTTTATTTAAGGTCCAGCAAGTAATATTGTCATTGGTGCGATTCTTTACCAAAATGGGTAATGGGCCCTACCGTCATAGTGGAATCAAAGGAAGAAGATTGAAATGGGTCTGACCTCTAACTTCTTAGGAAGTTGCAAAACTTTTGTTCATTTCTTATTTCATACCTTTTCTCCGTTTGATATTTGTAATCAACTTTTAGGACATGATACTTACAAGAGTATTATATATTTGGTGTAATCTAGTTTACATATCTTGGGTGGAAAATTGACGGTAATTTTTGGTTCTTGGTTATATGTTTCGAAATTAGTTTTTCTATTGTGTTTAAAAGAAACAGTCATGAAGGGGAGAAAAACCAAACCTTTACAAAACATCAAGGCAACAAAACGCGCACTTAGGTGAAGAGAAAAGGATAGATTTCCATGTATTCACATCGATTGGTGCGGAAAATAATGATCTTCGAGGTGATGTGTGTCACATCACCTCCAACAAGGTAGATCACGTTCCTGATGGTTTAAGCCTAGAAAATTATTTTTATATAATAAAATCTCATCATAAAATTATAATTTATAATTATGAGTAGTGTAAATACGTGGTTTTTGAGTTTGTATTTATATATCTAGTTTTACTCTCTATAAATCTATTTAATCAAAATATTTAACTCGGTATTTTACATTTGCAATCATTCCTGGATATATTTTATGTTTTAAAGAAAATAAAGACAAGAAGTGCCTCTGTTGTTAGTTGAGAATAGTTTTGAACACCATGGAACTATATTCAAAATAATTCTATTGAAGTTAATGTCACTGGTTTTGAACAAACAGGTCCTACAAAAAAACTGTCCCTGCTACTTTTCTTACACGAAGATCTCTCTTTCCATTTAAATTAAATTAAAATCTTATATATCTGTGCTGTGAGTCTCAACTTCCCTGGTTTAAAGTAGAGGGAATTGATTTCTGAATTGGTCCCGTAGGTGGGGCTTACCCTCTGGACATAATAAATAAACGCATCAGAAATCCACCATACGAAAGACAAATAAATAAATAAAGTCAAAATAGATAATTTTGGATGCTACTGAAACATAAGTTGCCGAGTCACGATTTCCCGTTCTGTGTGCCTGCTGATAGAGGTCGATGCACCATACGAAAACGTGTGTAGAATGTATCTATTTGATGTGCATCAATACTTGGGGTAGAATAGTACCCTTTCTCATGTATCATGTTTGAAATTCTGAAGCTGCTGTCGTGATGCAGCTACTGGTAGATTGTGACTTATCATTTTAATATAAGGAAAATTACTAGTGATAATGACGATTTATATACATCTTAAACCATTTCACCCATCACTGGAGAAAAAAATGCAAAAGAATGTCGGTTTTTGTCACTGTTCAGGATTTCTTTGACGATTCACAACAATTAAAACAAGTCCTTAATCAACATGTCATACTTTGGGGAACTTTGTGGGGAGGCAAATAAACTCACCAATAATGGGAAAATATGGTTAGAATCTAAAAAACAAAAAGCCAAAAAAGTGTGAGGGGGTAAGATTTGTTCACACAGAATTTGAAGTAGTACCAATAACCATACAATTGGTGGTGATAATATGGTTTTTCAGGGGTCACGACATAATCTATTGCTTTCATGCACAGTTGTCAATCCTCTTGTAAAAACGACACACCCAAGTCACAGTTATCAACTTAATGCCACTTTCCTTTACCCTTTTTGTACCTTCCTTTCAGTTGAAGGTAGCTTCTGTTAACCTACATTATGCCTTTGTTTTGGAATTGGCTCTTCACTCTATCACATCCAAATATTACGACCACAATGGGAAAAGTCTTGCATGTTCAAAACTTCACTTAGTTTTTTCTTTTATTATTTACACAATACTTCGGAGTCCTAACCATCGCTTTCATCCTCATCCTTAAACCGTAGGATAAATATTGAATTTGGAATACAAACACAGTGAGTGATTTATCAGGAATACCTAGCTAAGATGATATCACAATATATCTCAGTAATGTAGATTAGCTAGATAGAGTCCTAGCAAAGCTGATAAAGCTATTCCATTTACAGTACCAATGGTTGTGGCTTTCACAATTGACTTCAGTGCGATTACATTCACATCTACACTTTTTAAGAACTTTCTTTTTAACTTCTTATATTTTTTAATGATTCATCCTCAAAAGTAATGAAGTTCTATGTGTTAAAAATTGCATGAAGTGTTGTAAAAACATACAAATTTCTCCCATGCTATATGGCAATGGCATCCAATCTTGGTGCTCCTATGAAAATTGGTAAGTTGATGGATAGATTGTTACCTTTTTTAACGGTGCCGTTTGGGATTGGATTGCAAAAGCACAGTTGAAACTAAAAAGGTGCAATCTTGGAATTTGAAATTCGTTGGGCCTTCTCTCACTGTGCGTAATCTTCCCCTGGCTTGGCTTCTAATGCTTGTCACTTCTTTCTATTGGGACAGACAGGTTTTCTTCCTTTTCCTGAGTGAAGACAGAAATATAATAAATAGATATGTCTCAAGTGTCTTCTTATTTTAAACAATATTATTTTTAAGGTGATTTTCAGAACATTGTCAATATAAATTTTCAGTGTATTTATAATCTAAATTAATGGATCATGCAGATGGACATTGTATAACGGTGACACTGCATTTATTACAACAAGAGTATGAATGAAAGTGAAGAAGACCAAATATACATGCTTGTTAATTTACCCTTGAGAGGCTCCACCATATATTTTGGTTAGTTTTTTATATTCACTGATATCACATGAATAATGAGAATTTGAGAAATAAATGAAGAATGGGTGTTAGATAAGGGACGGTCTCTAAACTTATTTGAGGGGGCACGTAGGTCACTCAAACCTCTTATCGCTGACACATTCGTTTATAGACATTATTTTCTTCTTATCCAAAATAATTTCATCATCATCAATCAACGTTCTCTCGTAGCTTAATTTATATTTATTTTGATGGGAACGAGTTTCATCAAAAATCCTAATTAAAAAATAATAATGTGATTGAAATTTTTCGTTGACTGAATATTATATAGATAGATGAGTATAATTTGTATATTTTTTAAATTGATTTATAAGATTAAATTAAATATTTTAATAATTTTAAATATGATGAAAAAAATTTCTCTTATCTAAAAAGACGTGAAATTTTTTTTATAATAGAGATACGATAAATTCATCTCACGAGTAAATAAGAAAAAAATCCTCACATAAAAAAATAGGATGATATTATAATATTACATGAATATAATTTTCATTTTATCAAATAATTTTGTAAAATTGAATTAAATGTCTCACACTTTTTAATATATTTTAAATATAAATATTTATGATTAATCAAATATTAATAATATTATAAATTAATGGACATTTTAATATTAATTTACATAACTTACTAGTATAAAATTGATTTATATTGTCAAATTAAGTTCATTGTATACTTTATTTTTAGTTATATTTGTAAATAATGTAAAAAAAATTATCATTTTATTGATCACTCGCTCGTGAAAAAATTAGAAAATTTATTAAATATGTTCATTAAAGAAATACATCACTAGTTATTTATTGTTTTTACTGTAATAAATATAGTGGGTAAGGATTTGAGAATTATAAGATTGATTGGATGACAAAATTGAAAGGAAATTGATGGAAATAAGATATGTGATGGTTATAATTTATTTTAATAAATAAATTAAGATATTAATAATTATTTTTTGCCGATAAAAAAATAAATATTTTTACAATAAATTTCGTTTTCTTTTCATATATATAAGATAAAGATGGAATAAAAAATAGTGGTCTTCCTAATTCATGTTTTCATAATTTATTGAAATTTTTCTATTAAAGTAATGTTAAAAAAAAGTTTTTTATATTTATTAAACTTTAGAACATTATGCAGGGTATATTTCATCTGATAAATTAGAACTATTTTTTTTAAATAAGTTTAAAGCTATAACAAAAAATATATTATGTGTTGCAAACAGTTTGACCGTTACTAATTTATATAAAAATTATAACCGTATTCAAAAAATTCATTCACACTAGGCGAGAAATAAATAATTTTAATCATGAATGACAGTTTAATAATAAATTAATTAAACTAGTTTATAAAGTAACTTACTTGAAAAAATTAATTAATTAAAGTAACATATAAACTGATATATTGCTTTATGAAACACATTACTTTAACGCATGTATAATTAATTATACGCGTATGTATAACACTAAAATTAAATATTAAACATGACAGAAAACATGACTTAAATAATATATAATTGATTTTGTTCCACTGTATTAGCAAATAATATTAACAAATTTTAATCCGTTTTAATTTTATTTTTAAAACACACCGATGAAATATGATTTATTTTAAAAATTGAATTTGATATAATTTTATCATTTATAAAAATATATTGGAATAATATTTTTTTTAATATAATATAGTGTTTGTTTACAGAGCAGAGGATAAATGAGAGAGAGGAAGGGGATGGAGGAAGAAAGAGTCCCTTTGAATGAAAGGAAGGAAGGAAGGAAGGAAGGAAGGAAAGGGAAGAAGAGGAAAGAGGGGGGGCTCATAAATACGTTCACATGCTCTCTTCCTTTATCTCTCTTCCTTTCTCTCTCAACCAGACAGAGACGTGGTTGGTCCTTTCCTCATCCACCGCACCCTCCATTTATTCCAGTTGTTGAATCTCTTCTTCACTCCATTTATTACTCTCTCTCTCTCTTTTCTTCTTCATTCACCGTTTTATTTCATTTCCTTCATCATCATGGACCACACCATTTCTTAACTCTCTGTTCTCCATCAATGGCTTCTTCCTCCACCTCCAAATCCCCTCCTCTTCTCCCCTCTCGTCACTCCCCTCAATTCACTCCCGTTAGTACCTTCTTCTTCTTCTACTACTTCTTCTTTCTTTCTGTTATGCTAATGTCACATCCTTCTCTTATTTATTTTCTCTTATTGCAGATTCAAGAGGAGCATGAATTCGACGATTTTAGTACTCAACACAGAATAAGCACCCCCTCTCACCACCACCATCCTCCAACTCCTATTCTCAACAAGCACAACACCAAAGCCAATACCCACAAGAAGAAGAGATCCGAATCGGAGGAAGATGCGTCTATCTCTTGCAACAAGTGCAGGCCACACTCGAGAGACAAAATCTTCATCCTTCCTTTCGATCACACCGCCAACCACAATGCCTCACACACCAAACATTCCTCTTCTCTCCTCGCTAGCCCCAACGGCATCTTCAGAACCCTCGTCTCCAAACTCACCCGCAAGAGCCCCATGTCCTCATCGCAAGACCACCCTCTTCCGGTTTCGAGAGAGGACCAGTGGAAAATGGCAGTGGCGGAACTCTCTCACAAGCTCGTTCACGCCACTAGGAAACGAGATGAAGCCCTTCTCGAAGCTTCCAGACTCATGCACTCCATGGGGGAGCTAGAGAAAAAGCTCAACAAGCTCGAACTCTATTGCCACAGCTTGAAATCCGGCCTCGAAGAATGCACCAACGCCAACATTGTCTCTTCTCCGGTACCCTTCAAGCAAAGTCAAACGCTTCACCAAGACGCGGTGATTCAGCACTTCTTGGTGTCGGTCTCCGAAGCAAGATCATCCGTCAGACTTCTCTCTCGTTCCTTGACCATGCAACTGAGGCACATGGGAAGCAAAGTGTACGAGAAAGTCTCGTTTTTGCTCCAACCTTATGACGTGAAACTCTCCTTCTCCAAGAGCCCCAGAAGCTTGCTTTTCTACCTGGAGGCCCTCTTGAACAGAACGTTCTTTGAGGACTTCGAAACAATCGGGTTCCAGAAGAACGCTTGCAACGTGGTGCTGAATCCGGTGGAACGGTGTGAGGGGAGTTTCCGTTGCTTCAACATGCTTCAGGGGTTGACATGGGAGGAGGTGCTAAGCAAGGGAACGAGGCACTTCAGCGAAGAGTTCAGCAGGTTCTGTGACAGGAAAATGAGTGAGATTGTGGCGATGTTGGGGTGGAACCGGGCCTGGCCCGAAGCCCTGTTGCAGGCCTTCTTTGGTGCCTCGAAAAGCGTGTGGATGGTGCACTTGTTGGCCAACTCGGTGCACCCGAGTTTGCCAATCTTCAGAGTGGACAAAGGGGTTAACTTTGATTCAGTTTACATGGAGGATATGGGTGGGGACAAGGCTTCAAAGTTGGTCCCTAGTGTGGTCAGGATAATGGTTGCGCCAGGGTTTTATGTCTATGGCAGTGCAGTGAAATGTAAGGTCCTCTGCAGGTACTTGAGTAACAACAACTTTACCAGCCACTGTAATAGTGTTAACAAGGAAGACAAAGCCCTAACCCCAACCCCTTGACTTTGAGATAGAAACAATCAATGTTTTGTTTTTATTTTTGTTTTGTTTTGCAAGTCTGGAATTTGGATGAATCAGTTTTCTTCCTTTTCCTTTTCCTTTTTATGTTAGCCAATATTGTTAATGATGATGTATATTATTATTATTATTATGATTCAATAGGGGTTGGGTTTAAAGGGGTTTTTCCTTCATTATCATGATGCTTAGATTTGGGTTGGGTTTGGGATGGTGGAATATGGTGATTTTTGGGTCAAAGTGAGGAATTTGGCATTTCCTGGTTTCGCTTTGTTTTATATTGTGTCTAGTCCATTCGGACTTTTTCATCATTTTGTTTTTGTTTCGTAACACATCTGTCTGAAAATTTAACCTTTCGGGAACTTTTATACTTTGATGGGATTGGGTTGGGATAGACAACTGTGTTGATTTTCACATTCTAATGGGTCCTAACCATGTGGATTCTGATCATACATAATTATCAACTTCTACAAAACAATGGGATCATTTTTCACAATCATGGGATCGATTCAATCACGTGTGTCTCTGTTGTGACACTTCAATCCACAAAACACAAAATCCATCATTAAACTTTTTTTTTTCCTATATAAAAAACATCATTAACACCGTGTTTGATTGAACTGATTTGCGACGAAATACTATTTACGAAGACGGAAACACGACATTCACACACGTTTGGTTGAACTGATTTGCGACGAAATGTAGGCGAGGAAAAGGGGGAGATGAGAGAGAGAGTTTCTTCGCTGAGGTGCGAAGAAAAGAGATGAAAATAATGAAAAGTCGCAGTTACCCTGCAATATATGATAGCGGTTAAAGCCTAACCGCTATTATAACAGCACTTCTAATAGCGGTTAAGCCTTAACCGCTATCTAATATACACTTTAGATAGCGGTTACAAAGGAACCGCTATTATATTAAATTTCGCTCGAGCGAGATATAGTCGCTCAAGCGACACACAACCCCAGACGCAACAAGGTTGTTAAAAGGAGCTTATCATAGCGGTTAAACCTTAACCGCTATCTAATATACACTTTAGATAGCGGTTACAGAGGAACCGCTATTATATCCTCCAATTATTATCGATTATTTCACGTTATGATCGATCAGAATCAAATTTCGCTCGAGCGAGATATAGTCGCTCAAGCGAAACACAACCCCAGACGCAACAAGGTTCTTAAAAGGAGCTTATAATAACGGTTAAACCTTAACCGCTATCTAATATACACTTTAGATAGCGGTTACAGAGGAACCGCTATTATATCCTCCAATTATGATCGATCATTTCAACTTATGATCGATCAGGATTGTATTTCGCTCGAGCGAGATATAGTCGCTCGAGCGAAATACGCTTATGAGCTCACGCTTTGAGAGTTGCTTGTAGCCTACCTAAGCTCCACTTTTTTCAGTTCAATCCAATCAGCGAGTGGGATTAGAGAGCAAGCTGGCGTGGGGGCAAAGGCAATTAATTGATTGCTTTGTTTTTTTAAAAACTGATATGATAAAAGTTCCAAGCAATTCTGTTTATAAAAGAGTTTTCAGAAAAAGCTGCATTAATTAATCTGTTGAAAGTTTGTTTTAATCTGTTGAAATAGCCATTATAATGTGTTAAAAGTCCTTTCAACCCATTAATGCGTTCTTGTTCTTTAACAGAATTGTTTTAGCTGATACAACCAAGTTTTTATCAGTTAAAACTTTTTACAAACATTTTCTAAGAGTGATTTAATCGATTGATTCGCGGTTTAATCGATTGATTCAGTTTAAAACTTTCTTATAACACTTTTCAAGTTATTTTAACTGATACAAAGAAGTTTTAATCGATTAAAAACCTGCACAGAATTTTTTGTAAGTCATTTTAATCGATTGAAATGCGTTTTAATCGATTTAAACTCTGTACAAAAATTTTTCGCTCAGGATCAGGATTTAAACTCAAAATGATCGATTATTTAAAATTATGATCGATCAGGATCGTTTTTCGCTCGAGCGAGATATAGTCACTCGAGCGAAATGCAACCCGAGACTGAATCTTAAAATATTTTTTTGAATATTATGTTTTTTAATTTGCTATTAGAGAAAACCTTTCGAATTCAAAATGTTAAATAATTTTAAATATTAAAATTAACTTTATCAAAAATTAGGGAAACAAAATTTATCCAAAAGAGTTCAAAATGTATAAGAGTGTTCTCAATTTTGAGTTTAATTATATTATTAATTCTTAAAGTAGAAAATTATATTGTAATTATTTTATCTCAAGTTAATGTGAGGAGACGATCATCAACATTTCAACATTCGAGTCAGATATATGGGACATCTTCGTCTCTCCAGGTTGTTCATGTTCTTGAGTGGAAGTGATTGAATGATCTGAACTGGAGGACTTGACTGCAAAAGATGAATAACATTATAATTATTTGTTTGAAGAGCATTAGTGTGCATAGGTTTATAATTTTAGTAATGTTTCATTTAATTATTATTCTATTTTCACTTGTATTTTATATTTGTTTTAAATAATAATGTACAATTATATTATTAGTTTTCATAATTATTTGTTATTATCAATCAATATTAATTATTATATTATATTTTATAATTATTTAATTATTAGTCAAATATTTTATTTAATATGTCAACATTATTTGAATATGGATATACAATGTACATAATTTTGTAATTGTTTATTTATATAATTTTTAATAACTATTTAAAAAAAATTAATTTTTTAAATTTGTTTCCAATTACAAACACTTTTTATTTTGTTTTTTCTTTTAAATATATAATCAATGTTAAAATATGGATAATTAATTAAAAATTTATATTTATAATCATTTGAACCTTATTTTATACAAAGGGTAAAATAGTAATTTTCTTAAATAATCAACATAAAATTATAATTTTTATATCTCATATCAATCAAATCATTCACAATTTCCCATAAACTTTCTTTTCACTTTTCAATCATCTCCATTTTTCTTCAAATCCCTCCTTTTCCACTCTCTCAATTCCACTCTCTCAAATCACTCCAACCTAACAAAGCCTAAACCTCTTATACGAAGAACATGATCCTTATATACATATCTTGTGAACCAATTTTGAATGGAATGCTATGCTCACGGACACAACGCCATCGGGAATCGCATTGCATGCGTTCAAATCGGAAATGAAAGCCCACAATTCTATATTTCTTTCAATAGGTTTATTTGCCAAATCGGAAATTTTGAAATCATATTTATGCATATTAATTTCCTTTTAATATGTAGTTTCAACGTTATTTCAACGGGTTCGTTTAATTTTGACTTTTCTAATCATATCTTTTTATGCATTAATTAAAAACATCAATGCCAACAATATCAGTGTTCAGTTATTTATTTAAGCCATCCAGCTTTTAGTAGCTGAAATTTGGAATAATTCTGAATTTAGTCCTCAAACTTTTAATTTTTTTTTTTTTAAATTAAAACATATAACTTTAGCTTCAAAACACTATTTTCTGGAGGAAGTTGAAACAACTTTAAACCTTAAACCCTGTTTTAATCTATTAAATTTATTGTTTATGGATTTTTTTTTCCAATTTTGAAAGACTGAAATCACTTCTTTAATTTTGGGGACCGAAACTAAAATTACTATATAAGAATTTGAAAAAAATAAAATAAACCTAAACTCAATCATATATATATATATATATATATATATATATATATATATATATATATATATATATATATATATATATATAAAGGATATTTTCTATTGCAGGCATTTTTTTCCTTAGTATGTACTATATTATTTGTATGAAGACCTTAGACATGGATGTTATTTTTTTTTATAATTTCATTTTTTTTTAAATAAAACTAAGAGAAAAATATTAAGCTAATGATGGATCATCTATTATTCACAAAAAATAAAATTGTTTATAGTGTATACAAAATAAAAGTTAAGAATGATAAATATGAAATGAAAGTAAGTGTTATGAGAAAACCAAATTTACTCCACATTGGGCTTAGATCAATAGAATTTGATATTCATTAGTTTCTTCCTTCATCCCAATAATTTCTTCTGTATTTATAGTAAAATGTTAAAAACTAGGGATGGCAAAACGGGCTACGCCCGGCGGGCTGGCCCGTCAGCCCGCCATAATATGGTGGGGCGGGTTGGTGTTTTCAGCCCACCAGCCCGCTTTGGCCCGCCCCGCCCAGCCCGCCAACCCGTCGGGCCAATCGCGGGACGGGACGGGCCAGCCACGGCCCGCCTAATTAATAAAAAAATAATTTTTTATTGTAATAAAATTAATTATAAAGATAATATATAAAGTTAAAAATTTTAAAAAGAGAATTAAAAAAGTTTCATTCTCACAGAAAATATTCTCCTTCCTGAAATATAACATTCTCTCATGTTCTCCTTATTTATCCTAAGATCTTGATTATATTTATCCTTATTACTTGAATTAAAGGTATAAGAATTACTCAACCAAGTATAATATGAAGTTTTATCAAATAAAAAAGATATAGGTATTTGAATTTTTTAATATAAAAAATATAAATTTTATAAGTTTAACGTTATTTATATATATATATATATATTTGTTATTATTTATTATTATGTAAATTTTATTATTGTTCTAAATTATAATTTCTTAAAATAATATATTGATTTATATTATTAAATTGAAATAATATATATATATATATATATATATATATATTGAATTATTGACAAAAAATAATAATCTTATTATTAAATTTATTAAAAAAAATTATTTTTTTTAAATTATGGCGGGCCAGCCTGCCAACCTGCCCCTTAGCGGGCGGGCTAAGGTCTATAGCCCGTCATGACTATATCGGGCCAGCCGCCTCGCCCGCTTTGGCGGGCCAAAGACGGGCGAGCCAAAACGGGGCGAGCCAAAACGGGCGGGCTGGCCCGTTTTGCCATCCCTATTAAAAACATCCTTGAAATCATTTTTCCTCTTCCACGCCGTACTTTCATATTAGTATTGCTGCATG